CTCTTGGAACCCTGCCCATTACCTTGTGAAAGGTAGTTGTAGTAAACATTGCTGAAAAGAAGTTTTAAAAAAGTGAATTTTTTTAAAAGGCAGAAGCAAAGAAAAATAAAACAGCAAAAGCAATAGATATCTGTTTAAAAGGAAGCAAAGGAAATGATTGTAAATTCCATGTAATTTTACAAAATAAAAATCAAAAAGTAAAAAGTAAATTTAAGACATATAAAACTCTGAATGCTCAGAAAGGTGAAATACTAGTTTGCTCAGAGACCCCTCTCAGGTTCCCTGTATCTTTTGTCTGCCCAGGTCTCAGGAAGCATGGTGTGAAAGGATAATCCTTCACTACCTTAGATCTCCTCCATGGTCTCCATATTCATTTCCATCAACCCGCCCAGAGAAGAAAGTTACAGTGTGACTATTTGCAGAGTTAGATTATTACATTCGGAAATCTGTTCTCTATTTTCTCTGACCATCATCATGCCAGTAAATCCATTCCCAAATTTTCACCTTTTCCATTTATTAGATTAAAAAGAAAATCTTTAAAATACTCTTAAATTAAGACTAGTCTGGGAATGCCATTTCAACTTAGAGTGATTAAAATGGCTCATTCGTCATTGTTACATGTAACTGATAGCCTATTTTGGTAGGCCAAAAACTGGCTTGAAGCCACTAGTGAAGTATCAAATATGTTTTAAATAAATTTAAACTGTGGCATTAAACTGACCTTGTTAGAAAGGAGGGGCACACTTTTCTAAGATTATTCTTGGAAAGGAATGTGGGGAAAAGAAAGCAATTGTGTAGAGGGGAGCTTAATAAATGAGAAGATAATCAGAAAAATCAATAATTTGAAAAACAGATAATATCAAATTGACCAAAACACAAATAGGTTATTTACACTGAGCGTTCACAAGAGAAACTGTCACACTGCATTGGTTCTCAAGAGATCAGGCTAAATAAAATCTACACAGCCCCACAACGAGGTAGAGAAATGCCAATAATGACACATTTAACAATTAGAGATCAAAAAAGCATGGCAAAAATTTTACCAGTAAGCAAAGCAATGCACTCAAGGTATTACTTCTTTAAATAGTTTGAAGATGGTGCATGTCTCTGGCAATCAGAGGTTCCATCTTCTATAAGAGGAGCTTCACAGCACAAGGCCCTTTCCTCTAGATCTGTCAGGTCCTTTTTCTTTAACTATTTATGCCAACTCTGGTCTTTGCCACAATTAGTAAAAGCACTGATTCAACAGTCTTATGCAGCAATCAAAGGAAATCAATTTGAATGGAGCTGTCCACCTGATCCCATCAGATGGTTCCCTCAATGGTTCATGAATGAAAAACATGAGAATGATTCACAATTAGAGAAACCAGAATCCCCAGTGCTATCCTTTCCATTATTGCCCCAAAAGAGAAAACTCAACCTACCCACAGTTGGACAGATATTAGTACAGAGAAACATCATTCGTATTTTCTCAAAGACTAACAAAAAGCCACAATGAGCTTTTTGCATACTGAACTATCAATAAAGTATAATAACCCAATCAGTACGGAGAGTACTCCCTAAACTAGCTGTTAATCCATAAAAATCTTCTCCTCATTGGTAATTTACTACTTCTTTCTATTGGACATCATTCAGCAGTTGGAATAAAAAAGGTCACTTTGCAGCATGTGAAGAAGGCAGATTGTGTTTCTGAAGAAACACAGTCTGAGGCACTGAAATATTCTTACATGGGCAGCCTGAACAGCCTCTGCTTTGCAGAAAGCTGTAGGCCAGCAAAATAACCATATAACATACAGGCCAGTGGTCATCCACTCTCTTTATTGCTACTCATTTCATTTTTTAGAAAATCAGCACAACTAAAATTGTCAGTTAACAGACAGACTGGGTTCTGACTATATTAAAAAAAAAAAAAACTCTAAAATGATTCTGCAAGGAAATAAATAACAGTAACAAAGAAAGAAGAGGGAAAAGAGGGTGGTGGGGGGAAAAGGAGGGAAGAAAGGGTTGATAGCCAGTCACTGATCAACAAATACTGGCTGTGAAAATCCTGCACCGACAAGACATGGAGCCAGCCCAGCAACTGACCAATTTCTGATCTCCCAGCCAGCTGTCTTTCATGTGGAGTTGTCTGCGAGATTCAGATATGAAGACATTATGACTGGACAGTTCTGGGAACTTTCTCATCCCAGTGCACTGTGCATACAAACTGGCTCTGTATCACTTACTGTTCACACTCCAAAAAAACAACAAGCATTCATGATTGAATATCAGGGTTTGGTTTATTTCGGAGACAACTTTTCTCCTTGAAAAATGTTATTTAAAAAAAAAAAAAAAAAAAAAAAAACCTTCCCCCAGCTCGACCCTATTAGATAAAAAGCACATCAAAGAACTGAAGTTATGCATTTTCTTTCTTTGTCTCTTGTTCACTGATTTTCTTGGCTGTTCTTTATTCTCTAACTGTTCAAATGCTCCAATGGTGGAGGGGGGGGGGGGCAGAAGCAACTGACTGGGCAATTTCTAGGATTCTGTAGAATCTCCAGCTCTCAATCTCTTCCCTCTCCTTTCTCTCTACCTTCCCCTCCCTTTCTGTCCTGATTAGATTCACATCTTCATGTCACACTAGAGCATCACTCAAGCATTCAATAACATGAAGAGAAGTTCAATGCCTGCCTGTGGAGATGAATCTGGAGTTTCTTTGATCCATGCCGAGATGTGGACATCTAGGTCCCAAATTCCTAGATGGCAGGCTTGCCCTTTCCACCACCTGATTTTGCTGCCTGAATCCTGACAAAATCATCTGCAGTATTTCTGGCTCTTTCTCAGTCTCTGCATTTAACCCGGGCGGCGCAAACCGAAAATCTAATCCTGGCAACAAAGCCAGGAGCGCAAACCCAGCTTGATGAACCGGTCGGCCAGCTCCCCACCCCCTTCCTCTCACCGCCGCTGCAAGCCTTTGAAAAGACAGGCTTGGGGGCCAGAGAATTAATACGTCCAAGGTGAGGAAGAGACAAGCGGCGGAATACAAGTGTCCAAGTAGTATATAATTTTTTATTTGTTTAGGTATTTATCTTTTAAGTATCAAGGTCCAACAAATAGGAACCCAAGCAGCGGTCAAACAGGAGTGTGAACCTCCTCCACGGCTTGCAGGCTGCGCAGACAGCTCGCGCGGCCCCCTGGCGCGCCCTCCCCCACCCCATCCGGCTGGGACCGGGCGAGCGGGGGAGGGTAGCGCGGGCTGTCTGACACTTGTAAATGGAAGTGGGATCCAACTTGGAAAGAACGCGCGGGAGTGTGGGGGCAGGGAGGAGCAGAGGAGAAGAAAAGATTCCTCAGTCCTTAGCGCTGTCCCGAGTCCTTCCCAGCACCCGCGGCTGCAGCAGGTTCGCGGAAAGCAGACGCCGAGTCCCGGTCGGCGCGTGGGAGGCGGCGAGAGGGAGCTGCGGCCCGGGAGCGAGCTGTCAGCGAGCTGGACACCGCGGACCGGCTGCCCACTCTGCGGAGGCAGGCGCCGCTCCCTCCTCTTCCCGTCCCCCAGAGCCATCTAGCTGAGTAGCACAGTCTCTTGCTCTTCATAAGGAGGCAGAACACTCCCCCCACTGCTTGGTTTGCCCCCCATTATCATACGGAGCTTCAGTCTCTCAGGATGCCCCCTCCAGAGCCCCTGTGTACACACACACGCACCCCCACCCCTTCGCAGCAGCCTCCTGGACTGGTAGCAGCAGCCAAACTCCCGCCACCCTCGCATCCTTGTGCTAAGCGCAAGCCAGCTCCTCGGAATCAGGGAGCGAAAAGTGAATGCAAGTTGCTTTCCGCGCAGTCTGACCGTGGTCAGTGCTTAACCATATCGGAAAGCACACAAGACAAAAGTCAGCAATAGAGGAGGGGATGAATACAGAAAACAGTACTGCTAAAAATACCCGGGCTGCCACCTCGCGCAAGCCGGGGGCGGATGCACTTTAGCTCAGCGACCCCCACTGGCCGAATCCTCTCACTCACCGAGCGCCACGCGGAAGTGGTCCCAGCTACCTCAGCAGCTTCCCGGCCCGCGTCACCAACATCCCCACTCCAGCCTTGCACACACGCTGACCCCGAAGAGACTGTGCACTGTGTACCTTCGGAAAGCCTCCTGAGCGCCTAGCTGGTGCGTCTTCCCATTCCCATCCCCGACCGGAAGAGGGTCGGCTCGGCATCCCCGGACAGTCAGATGCAGAGCCGGGCTATTCTCCTTTCACAGACCAGCAGCCTCCCTGCACGCCCGCCAAAATTCATGCATCTCCTAACACATTCCGCTTCCCTCTTCTGTCAAAGTAGCAGTAATAGTCTGTCTTCAAGACCGCTCTGAATAGGCTGTCGCCCCCAAGCCAAGGGCCTCTCCCATTCGGTACACCTCTCACTGCCCAAGATCTACACAAGCCCACGTCGGACTTGGGGAGTGCACCCGCTGACTGTCTGGTACCCCTCTCCGCTTTTCTGGTGAAAGTGGAGCCTGGGCTGTCTGATCTGGTTGGCGTCTGGTATAGCAAGGACCCAACTTGCGCCTCTGGGTTCCCCAAGTGCATCCGCAGGCATCTGAAGATCTCCATTGAGCCCGGACGAGCACCGGACGCCCAGTAGGGTCTCGCCTGGATTTCTCATCCACCTGCAGCCGAAGACCAGCGCTGGGGAACAGAGGCCAGGAATGGGTGCACCAATCTGCAAGCCCTCTCTCACCTTCTCCCTAAATCAAACTTGGCCAATTCTCCGAGCCAACCTCCCGGCTCCAGCCGCGGGGCCGGGCCTCCCCCTGGCTTAAAGCTGGGGTGACCGAAGCCCCCGGCTGTGCCGCCGAGGCAGGAACTTCACAAGGTGAAAAGTTTCCCCCTATGCGCGCCGCCCGCTCTCGCTTCCCCGAGCCCACCTCACAGCCCCTTTGCACGCGGCAGCTGGGGCCATCCTCCGAAAGGCACGCTCCAGCCGGTGCACCAGACAGCCAAATCGTCACGTTCAAAATCCCCACGCACCCTTGCCTCAGCCGGCGACCCACCGCTCCTGCGGGCGCTCTCTCGTGGTCTCGTGCTGGCGCTCTCGCCTGGGGCGAGCCGGCCGCCGACCGCAGCCGCTGCAGTGCCCGCGCGCGCTCCCGGGCCTGGGGAAGGGAGCCCAGGCGCTCGGGACGCCGCCGCCGCCGCCGCCGCCGCCGCGGGTTCGCAGGCGGAGGAGGGGAACGCGGTGGAGGAGAGGGACTGGGGGAGCGAGATCCCAATCCGCAACCCGGATCACAGCGCAGCCTGCCGGGAGGAGTGCGGGCTCTCAGGTCTGCTCCGAGCTGCAACCGCGCCGCTACTGCTCACCGCCTAGCTGCTCCGAGAGTTCCCCATCACAGAAGACGCCGACGCACCACCGGGTCCCTCTCCTCTCCCCCCTCTCGCTGCTTCTCTCGCGGTCTCCTCCTCCCAAACAGCTAGCGAAAGGGGAGAGGGGGAGCGAAGCGTCCGCTTGCGTCGGGGATGACTGGAGATCTCCGAGCGAGCGCGGCGCAGGGACGAGGGGGCGAGCGGAGGGGGCTGCGGGGAATTCGCGGTAAGCTGGAGGGCGCTCCCGGCTCCCGGGCTGGAAGCTGGACTAATTTTAGAGCCCTTGGATGACACCAAGGAGCTTTCCTGCCGCTGGAAGAGCCCTCGCCAGCTTTTGAGAGTTCTCACATACCACTTTCGGTCTGACCTACACTGTACGTAGATTGCACTTTTGTTTCTGTAGCACAGATGAGAAAACTGAGGCACCGCGGGTTAGCATGGTTTACGTTCCCAAGCTAGCGTGAAGATTACACTATCAAAAACGTTGTGTCTCTTCATTAAAAATATTCTCCTGAGATACGTTTCCTTTGACTTCACTGATTTTTAGATCCATTATGTTGTGGAAGAGGGAATTAGACTAAAAAGATAACCTGGCACAATATATAGATGTATTGTATGGGTATGCGTGGTATGGGTTTGTGTGAGTCTGTAAATGTAAAAGAGCCTCTCTAAAAGGGGTGAGTGATTGATTTGAGGTTTCATCTGGTAGTTCTGTTCCTGTAACTTCTGCACTATCCACCCAGGTCTGTGGGATTCCTGCCTAAATTATCTCCTACTTGTCTTCATCCCAACTGCTGCAGCCTCAGAACCCACAATGCCCCACCCAGTGCCATCAGCCCCAGCCCTGCCCGCCAATCGTGGCATTTCTGCCTTTCCTCCTTGCTAACACCGAGGCAACCCGAACCGAGCCACCCCTGTGCATCCATCCACCCACTTGTACACAGGATTCACATCTGCCTCTAACTGTGGAGCTTGCCAGCCTCGTGCCTGGGGCTCACTCCCAAATGGCTTCTCCGTAACTCTGCTGTTGGTTCCAGGGGAGAGGTGCACCAGGCCTGCAGACCCTTACCCTGGAGAAATCATTGCTTATTTTGAATCAGAAAATGCTCTTTGGGAAGGAGGGATGGGTTTCTTTTAGAGGGCTTTGTGCACAGTCACCAAAGCAAGCCCATTGATGAGCCCAGTGAGGTTACCTTTCTGGCCTTCCATCTCTAGCCTGGAGCCTCTGCCTTAGAATTCACACAAAGACCTTCCACTTCCCAGGGAGGAAGGTCCCTGCAGACCTGCTGCCTTGACTGCCCCCTAAAGCATCTGGCATGCTCTGGTCACTCTGCCCTGAGAGTTTAATGGGAACACTAAGGAGCAGTGACAGCTCCCCATACATCAGCTAATTCAGGGGTAATAAGCAGGATGTTACCAGGGTCTTCATTGTCAGGAAGGCCAGAAGATGGATCTGCAGTGATGAAAACCACCAGTAGAGTATGAAGACTTATCTGCTGTCTAAAACGTTGTCTTCTGAATAATTCTATTCTGATTTTATTTTTATTCATCTGGTTTCTAAGACATTAAAGTTTATTGCCATATAAATATGTCCCTGACATGGCATTTTCCTTGCAACCAAAAGAATGCAGCTAAATTTGCATGAAAGGTTTTAAAGTGTTTCCTACCCCAGTGCTTATGTGGAGGTACAGGAGTGAGTTGGCCCCTGAAAGCAGCATGCTGGGGAGAGGCAGCTGATGGTTGTTTGGCAATGGGATGCTCAAAGAAGAAGTGCTGGCAACAAGACGGGGCATCTTCCACCTTCTTTGTGGGAAGACTGCCAGGTGAGTGGAGGAGTGGCCACTGCTGATGCTGATGCTTCTGGATTTTGGCTCCACAAAATGTCCTCTTGTGCCTCAGGGGCACCTTATGCGTAAGTACAGAAATCTGTGTAAATTTCAAGACTCTCCTTCCCTAAGCACTACATAGAAAATAAACAGTCTTTACTCCCAGGGTAGAAATAAACCATTAACAGCTGGTAAGCTGTAAGAGTCTTCTTACAAGCATAGTAAGTAGCATGGTTTATCTAGTAGAACACCCACTTCTCTGGTCACTTGAAATTTGCATAGCATTTTACTAATCATTGAGTTAATAGTCTCAAGATTATAGAAAATCATTTTATTTCCTTAAAATAGCCTAGTATGTACCAGTACTGTTGAAGACACAGTGATTTTATGACAACAGAGAATCTGTGTTATATATATTTATATATATATTTTTTTTTTACCTCGGCTCCCAGTGTAAAATCTGAAACAATAAATATTGATAAATACTTAAAGAATGAACAAATGATGAAATCTGGAGAATCTTCTTTTAGAAGACCATGTGATGAATGTGACAGATAAGATACTGAAGTCTTCCAAGGAAAGTGTTTTGACTTGTATCTCAATATTGTCCCCGAATCTCATAGATCTATTGCTATTGATTTGTAGAAGTGGCTGGATCTAGAGTATGTGAATGTAGACTACAAGTGTATGAATGTGAATTAAAGGTGTGATAACTAAGTTGGTTTACTAATTGATTTAGCATAGTTCTGGGTGTGGATAATGGGAAGGCCCACACCACCCTAAAGGGATAAAAGCCTGGATTGGATAAAAGGGAAAGGGAGGCTTGCTGCTTGCTGCTTCCTGGCTTCTCTGCCTTCAATTTTTTCTCCTCTTCAATGCCTCTGCCACACCAACCTGCCTTGGAGCCAATTGGCTGTGGACTGAAACCTACCTCTGTAATGTGAACCAAAATAATCCTTTCCTCTTTAAAAATAAAGAGGGAATTTCCAGCAACAAAAAGATAACAAAGGCAGAAAGGAAGGCAAAAGTGAAAAACTACGTATTTAGAATAATTAAAATATTGTACTTGTATCACATTTATCATTCACCACTTAACATTCTCTGGCCTACCTGTCCCTTTTAGCCATCAGTGGGGTACCTGGTTTTAAGTGGACTCTAGCTAGCTCCATGTGGGTGCAACCTGCCAGTACTTTAGCCTGCTCTTATCCTGCAGCTCACCTATCAATTCAGGACATCTTGGTTGAATTTTCAGTGTGAGATGAAACCTAGAAATGCAAAGGATTAAACATCCTATGGCTGGGGCTGGAGATTTAGCTCAGCAGCATAAGTGCCTGCCTTGCAAGCAAGCAGGCAGTTGTGAGTTCAATCACAACCTGGTACTGATAAAAAAAAATGAAAACGACAAAATAAATAAATAAATAAATAAATAAATAAAAAGCCATCCTGTGGCAAATTTTGACCAGTTTATAAATGCTACAAGAATGTTTCAAGATTCTGATTTATATTGCAGTCAGCTTTCAAATTGTCTTTTTTAATGAAATAACCATTTTGCTAAAACAGTGACTAACCTAGTAGTACACCCTGGACTGGCTCTCCATCCTTCTCTAGCTTTTTCCCTCTGTCTCTCATATATTCCCTTGAATCACAATCTCCAAAAATGTATTTTAGGTAAGTTCTTGTATCACATTCTGCTTTCTCGTAATGGTAGGCTGAAAGTTCTACTATCTATTTTGTATATTTCATAATAGTAAAATGATTTTCTAGATGTTCTATGAAAATAATAAATGCACATTTGCATAATATGTACATGTACGCAATTGATCACAAAGAAAAACAGATATATTTTCTCTTCTTTGTCTATAATCTTTTTTTGAACAAATAGAATCAAGCCATATAATGATAGGAATCTGTTTAGGTTGGTGATTAGCAGACAGGATCTGTGGGAAGACAGGCTTACTGAATCAGAATCTCCATGCTTCATCTTTAAACTCTATTATTTTGAGTCAGTTCCCTAACTTGCTTAGGTATTAGTTCCTCCATACATAATATAGGACCTGTATTGATAAAAGTTGATTGATTATGTCAGTTTGAGAAGTGTAACTGAATTGGCTCAGGAGTTCTAGAATACCCACCCTAGGGCAGCTCTTTGCCTAGAGAGCTTGAAGGGGAAGTGAGGAAGGCTGAATCTGCTTTTATTCTTTGGAAGAGCTCCAGCCTTCGCCTTCTGTTTGGGTATCACCTTCTGGCTTCCAGGGCAGACTGTGGCTTGTGGAGTGGATTCTTCAGCCTTCAATCTTCAAGTCAACTGTTCAGTTTCCATCATGGACTCGTCAGCCTTTCATCTCAGACCCACTGGCCTCCTGATAAGGACTTGCACCAGACTTTGCAGTGAGCTCCAGTCCTTGTCACCAGTGTGCAGATACGCTCTGCATTCTTCCTCATCTAACTATGTGGGTGACCATCACAGCCAATCTTATAATTTCATATACATTTGTGTGTCTTGTGTTACATATGTTTCTCTAGTAAAATACTGAATAATACATTACCTCACAGATTATTGTAAACAATAGCTTTTTACAAAAGCATGTGTTTAAGCACACTAAATAAACAAATATTTTAACTAGTATTATTCTTCTAGAGATAAGTCATTAGGCAAATATTTTATATTTAGCACATTTAAAGTAATTGCTACAAACCAGAATAAACTTAAGATTCTTTCATGATCTCTCCTGTGCCAAAATTCTAGGACTCTAACTCGAGATCTGAAATGACTTCTTACCCATGTAGATGTTCCAAGCAGCCAAACTTTTATTCAAAATCAGCAAATCAGTGATGCTGCAGATATTCACAATCATTAAATCTGTAATGTTTACATAAAAGCACCATTTGTACTTGGGAACATTCATTTGTATATGATGTGCTATTCATTAATAAATGAACATTCTTAGATTTTAAATTTGCTTTTGCAAAGTAACAT